CAGGGTTGTGGCTCAGTGATAGAGTGCTCGCCTAGCATGCTTGAGGGTTTAATCCTCAACACCACATAAAAATAAAATACAGATATTGTGTCCACCTAAAACTAAAAAATAAATATTAAAAAAAAGATAAGCCTTGAGAAAGTTGCAGGCATATAAAACCTAATTCATACATAGTCAAAAGTAGTTGGAGTGTTAGATTTACCTTGTTTTCTTGACCACTTAAATATTCATACAGTATCTATAACCTGAGACTCTTGTGTAAGGTCCTCTTATCAGCTCCTCATGAAGGTAGTCAACTAAAAGGCATTAACGATGTATTGAGGCAGGTTTTTCTTCTTGGATGTGAAAGTAAAAATGAAATCAATAGGCAAGAGTGTTTCTCTTTTTGGAAAAAACCCTACAATCTGTCCTGTGTACTCTTTAATTCAGGGAAACCCTCTAACCTTCATTGAAAACTGGAAAAAAACAAACAAACAAAAAAAACCAGCACAAACTGCTAGCAATAGGATTTGTTTCAAAAAACCAAGATAGTCATTGTTCAGTGATCTAGATACTCAATGGAAATGAGTATGAATTTGCATGCTTTAAATTAGCCAGGTATAATGAAGTTTCCTATGTTTTAGGTATTTCACTCCTCAATTGCCAATGCATAACCACCAATTAAGGCTATATTATAGGATGCAATTACTGTACAGTGTAGGGATACGGAATTTCAAATAAGATTTTCCTCCAGCTTTTTATATCCTTACCTTTTGTGTGTATGTGTGGTACTAGGGATTGAGCCCAGGGCACTCTACCACTGAGCTACATCCCCAGCCCTTTTTATTTTAATCTGAGACAGGATCTTGTTAAGTTTCTCAGGCTAGCCTGGAACTTGTGATCCTTTTGCCTCAGCTATCAGAGCAGTTGCGATTACAGGCGTGCACCACCTCACCAGGCATACTTTCATTTTAAATGTTAAATTTGCCAGTTCTTGGGAAGGTTATAAGCTCTATGTAACAACTGTACCTCAATTTTTTCTGTTGAGATAAGGTCTTGCTATGTTGCCCAGGCTGGCCTTGAACTCCTGGGCTCAAGCAACCCTGCTGCCTGGGACTATAGGTGTGCCATTGTGTCCAGCTAGCACTTCAATGTTTAACCTTATATTCTAGGGTATGGCAAAGTGAGAGTCCACAGGAAAACACTTTCAGAAATATCTGAATCTCAAAGAGGCCTGTACTGAAGTGATAGCTGGGTGCTTTCAGGAATGACCTCTTTGTTAGAATACACAGCACACCTACACTTTTTGGCATACTTGTCTCTCTACTATTGTGAGTCCCAGGAGAAAAGGAAATATATTTTATTCTCTCTTTATATTTTCAAGAGCTTAGCACAGTGCAGGGCATGTGAGTGACACTTGATAAATGTCTGTTGAATTAAGAAAAGTGAAGAGCAAGGAAGAGCAACTTCTATGGTTATAAGCATTTCTTCTGAACAAGCAACACTGTGGTATAAAGATGAACTTTTACAGATATAGGGAAATAAGCCCTGGAAAGAATTCAAATAGTACAGTAAAAATAGAGAAGTATTTAATACATTTACCAATTTTATACACTGATTTTTAAATTACTGAAGTTGCTGTCTTCTGTATACCCTGATCCCACCTATCTAGGCTACTGCTATTACTAACCTGGTTCCTGATGATAGCCTGGATTAAGAGTAAAGATCTGGGAGTGCTAAGAGGAAGAATGGAGACTGCTAGAGAAGACACTGCCCAAGAATGATACAACACAGGGCTGAAACCATATCGTCAAGTATTACTGCCTGAAAAACTACTGCTTTCATACTATATACTTTTTAAGTCAGGAAGAAGTACACAAACATAAGCATCTATACAAGGTGCAAATTCACTGAGCCAAATAAGAAATGAATAAAAAAGGTCTTTGTGCTGCCAAATCATGGTTATCACGTTCAAGTACTAATACTCAGAAGAGCTGCTAGAACCTCATGTAGCTGCTTTACATTCAATCTCCAGAAGCAGCATGATCTGGGTTTCTACTCCCCAGAAGATTAGAAGCTGTACACAAGCTTTCCTGCCCCCGAAGGAAAGGACAAGCTGACTATTTAAAGCAGATTAAATAATTCAAAAAGCAGAGGGGCCAAACACGTACATTTCTCAATCACCCCAAAGCCTTGCTTAATTACTGTCAGTGATGTATGCTAGTAATCATAACCTTGAGATAATAAAAAAGGTTAAACTATGTTGTTTAAAAAGGAGCAAAATATATAATACATTGTAAGAAGTTTTCCATAAAAAATATGGCTAAAATAAGAATTTTTGAATATAATACCTTATTTCCCGACAACATTTGGCAAACAAGGTATTGCCACACCAGGGCAGAACGTCAAGAGCCCAGAGCATGAAATGACAGACTTTACTGCCTCACCCTATACTTGATTCTATCCTCTTGACACATTTATAATTTTATATCCTTGACCTCCTTTTATAATGTACTCAAATTAGCACACTCTTCTCAAAGGGGCTGTTTCCTTGCCACAGAGTACTGAAATCAAACACAAACCAAAGTACAATGTCTCCTTTCTTTATCAGTCTCCATTTCTTATATCATACTGGGATAGCAGATGCACCCCAACATGTTTTAGGTCCACAGATAGGCATTTCTTCAATTGTTTTTGATAAGAAAGACCAAATCAGAAGCAAGACCTTTACATTACATTCTCTTCTAGGCATCTCTATGTTAAAAATCCTGTCATGCTGAAATTTTAAGTTGGTCAGAAGCTGGTTTCAGCAGTAAAGTAAGGCCTTCTGTTCTGTACCCCAAGCCCACACTAATACATGCATTAGGCTTTAGGAATTATGGAGGCAGCTAAACGAAGGCAAAGAGGGAGAGTGAACAGGTGTGGAAGGAGGAGTTGCTGGAGAAGCACCCTCTTCCACTCCCAACATAGGGCATGAGAGAATGTCAATCAGTCAATGTTGCTAACATGGTCATTATCAAGAACTCAAAGGCTTTTGTTTGTTTGTTTGTTTTTGGTACTGTGGATTGAACCCAAGGGCACCTCACCACTGAACCACTTCCCCAGCACACCCCACCTTTTTAAATTTTGAGACAGAGTCTCACTAAGTTGCTGAGGCTGGCCTCAAACTTGTGATCCTCCTACCCCAGCCTCCTGATCCACTGGGATTGTAGGCACACGTGGTTCTAAACTCTTTTAGTAATGCAAAAACACTGACTACTCATCTAACTGCTCAGTTAGTCACCCTAGCCATCACAGGCTGGAGGAGCAAGTCTGTGAAGCTGCACTTGACTGAAACCTGTATAGGCTGCATCTAGCTAGAACACTATAAGGACGGAGCTTCAAGACAGCTCCAGCAAATAACACCCTTCACAGATTCGCACCTCCACAGCATATTTCTAACAGGAAATCTGAAACACATTTTTCTTGACTTTTTTTCTCTTCATAAAAAGAGGAACTAAACAATTTGGCATCTATACTAGGCTATTTCTTCTTCCCAATTTTCAATTCAGTCATTCAACAGATATTTCTTGTACACCTATTATGTGATAAGCACTGCTACGTGCCTGTTACAACAAACTGTAGGGCCTCAGTACAACTATGCTCCCCACCCCAATTCACAAAACTATCAGGCACTCAGTCTATGTTTACAAGACAGTCTCCTTTTTCTCGTCTGCAAATGTGCACACAAAATGCAAACAGAAGCCTCCTCCCTCTATTATCAGAATATAGCAATCACCAAGAGGGGACTACTGTGGTTAGCTATTTTAAAAAGTTGTCAATTTAAGAAATGAAGTATCTGGATTCAAGGCTTACACCACTGAAATGATAGTCACACAAAGCACAGGAAGCTGAAGTCTGTCCTGAGAGTAAATGAAACAAAGAAAATTTCATTTAGGTACTCAATAGTCAAAAGAGAAAAAACACAAGCTTTAAGGCTGTGTGAAAGAAAATCTAAAAATGAAAACCAAGAGAACTGACTAAAAGTGAAGGAATTATCAATTTAGCATAAAGTAATTCTATGACACAAAGAATTATAATAAAGATGAAACTGACTTGTTTCCTAATCCAAAGCACCCAGAAAGAAAAGAGGGGCATGAGTTTTCATTCTTTCAACAAAATGCACCTATTACTATTTCTAAAGAAACAAAGCAAATCAACCTCACATCTTCATCAGGAATGTGATGAACTCCCAGAGTTCTTGATCATCTTTTACCTCCATCCTTTTTTGTCACTGTATTTTGTCAGGAATGAGGGGGATGAGTCTGAATTACTTGCAGTGCCTTGTTGTTATTCTTTTGACAAGCAATTTCAAATGTGGAAGACCTCCTGTTAACTGATTCTATTGTATGGTTCTGGGAGCCAAAGATCAACATCTTCACAAATTTTTAAGTTATTAATCCAGCTTCCCCACCCCCACCCCCAGTGCAGGAGATCAAATCCAAGGCCATGTGTGTGCAGGACAAGGGCTCTACTTGAGTTATAGCTCTAGCCCAATAATTTAATTTTAAATCTACCTCAGATTGTTTGAGTCTAGGCAACTAATTTAGTATCTTTAACACCTGTACCAGTTCTCAATGACATGACTGGTTGATAAATAATATATGTGGAAGCGCTCTAAGCTAAGGTCAAAGGTGCTGCATAAATTCAAGGAATGTAACACATAAGCACAATGAGGTCGTTAGCCCAATTTTTTAAGGAAAAAAAACCAAGCACAGTAAAATTGATGCATGACTTTACATTACAAGGATGATAGGCAGGGTTAATAAATGGCAATTTTAACTTTACCCCATCACAGATTTATGAAGTTCTAGTGTTTAATTGCGAAAAGATTCCACATCATTGCTACTATGTCACTACCCTCCAAGGTGAGAAATCAAACCTCCAGAGGGAAACCGGGTAAGGATGGCACTGACACCTGGCCTTAGATCCAAGTGGCAGTATCAAGCACCTCCCCTACTCCCAAATTATAAACTCCTTACCCATCCCAATGGTGTTGTGGCCTTTAAAACGGCTAATTCCATAATGACCATCCGTGGCCCGTGCCCTCCACTTTTTCTCCAATACCCTCTACTCCTCTTCCTATACGAAGACTGGCAGGTAACAAAAACCTGATTAAAACCAATGTCTTATCGCTCTCCACGACCAAGGACACGGCTTGACCACGGTTCTCTGCAGCATTAATGGCAACCTTTCGGTTAGCCCGTAATCGGGGGCCGTCACGCCCGGAAATGAAATCTCCAGCACAACCCACTTGGGACTACCGTATCATTTCCTTAAGTTGTGCCCGTCGCCAGCGCCGCGCGCACGACCCCGAGGAGACCGCCGCGGGCCCCGGGCACGGCTGCCTCGCC